GGTTTCCCCTTAAAAAAAACTTATTACATTGATGTTTAATAAATTTAAATAACACTTATTAAATATTTTCATGAATAATTGTTCTTCATCTAAATGTCCTTCCATCCTCTCCTCCGGTGCACTATACAATTTATGGTGAAAGTTGATGACATTCCAACTATCCCCTTCAATGATGATACCATCTGCATCAAATTTCCTCTCTTTAATAACATTTCCTAGTGATTTGAAAGCCAATAGCTCCAATTGTGAACTATCCCAATGAACATATCCAAAACAAAAGGCTAATAAAAATCTGCCTTTACAATCTAAGCACTCCACCAATTCTAGCTTTGTTCGATTTACATAGGGATCCATCAATGTTTATTTTAAAACGTTTTGGAGGAGCAGGGTGCCAAGAATTAAATAGTCTATAGGACTGGTTGTTACCCCAATTACCCAAGTTGATTTGTCTTTATGTAAAATGGTCATAAAATGATACCGATAGCTGCTATAACACCAGCACTTTCTTCCACATCACCATGCTTCATTTTGTTTCTATTATTCCATGAAATAGCAGCAAAGTTAAATACAACTTAGCAATGAATGGATTCCTACACAAAAAAAAAAATTAGGTTATTCGAACAGTCTGTGAAAGAACAAAAAACTGGCACAATAAATTCCCATGTATTTAATAAACCTATTACCTGCAGTAGTTTAGAACATGTAGCGGTACAATGATCAATATTTTTCACTTCAAGGTAGCCTCTTGGACAAATATTGGATTCAGTAAGTCATCTACAAAGAGAAAATCTGCAGTTGGAATTGCATTCCTGCATAGACACCAAATAAACACTTCAACCCGAGGATTGAGTTTAAGTATGTAGAAACATGGATCATATGGTTCTTGCATATCTAAAAAAATTCCAAAAATTTGAATCCAATACTGAAATGGATTTGCTAGACAATTTAAACTTTAGCTCCACCCTATCTTCCTCCAAGTTATGAAGCATATCAATTTTGCTGATCAAGTTCATAAGTTTTTCTCCAAAGAATTGATTTAGTTTAGGGACATTCCAAGCTCCATCTACAATGAGAGAATCTAGAGTAACTTTTTCCTCCTCCAAATTAACTATAAGCATAGGTCATTTCTCTATTCTTTCATCAAGGATCCACACATCCTTCCAGATATCAATCAAATAACCTGAGGTAATATTCCACCTTAAGACCACTTTAAGAGAATTCCACCCATCAATTACAATCCTCCATGTAGGCGAAGTAGTCTTCTTCTTGTCACATTCCCACCAGCATTTCCCATACTTAGCCATAATGTTCTGATTAAATAAAGAATTTAGATTGCATAATAGGTTCCAAGAAAATTTTGCTCTTAATGGCCCCACTTTAGATACTACTGAATAAGGACCCAATCCTGCATGCTCCTTTTGTTTACACAAGACATTACAAACCATAAAATGAAGCCCATGAGAGCTATCATGATTTTTCCAAATATAATTCGTACGAATCTTGTCAAATTCATTCAAAATATTCAAGCGAAATAATGAATATGAAGATAGAAATAATGGGAGAGCAAGAAAAATTGTTTTCATCAAGATTATCCTTCCTATAAGTGAGATAAATCTATTTCCCCAAGGATTGAACCTCTTGGAGGCTTTATCCAAAACATATTGAAAATCAAATTTCTTCAACCTTCTCAAAGCAACCTTAATTCACAAATAATCCATTTCCTCAACCACCTTAATGTTTAACAACTTTCAGATTTGTTTCTTCTTTCTTCTCCCTATATATTTTCCCATCATCATTGAAGACTTTTTAAAATTTACCATTTGTCTAGTCCAATTGCAATAATATAGGATCAACTTCTTCAATATTTTGATATTTTTCAGCTTCACATTTTTAAAAAATATATTATCATCTGCATACAAGAGATGCAAATTTTTTTTGTGCATTTAGTGATAATTTGATACCAACATCCTTGCCTTTATTTAAAAATGAGTTAGAAAATAATTGAGAGCACAAAATAAATAATAAGGGAGAAAGTGGGCATTCTTGTCGAAATCCACATCTTCTCTTAATCCACCTTGAGTTGCTTCCAATAATCATAATAGAGAACATTGGATCCTTCACACATTCTGTCATCAAATTTGCAAATTTAAAGGAAACCCCAAAGTATTCAACATTTGTCTCAATGTTGCCTAACATGTACTATCATATGCCTATTCCATATCAATTTTTATTGCCAATAGACCATTCTTTACTTTTGTTCATCTGATTTTGTTGCAAACTTCTTGAACCAATAGGAAGTGATCTGATATTGACCTTCCTTACATAAAAGACACCTGTTCTTCTGATATAACCTTATGCATTACCAATAGAAATCTATTTAATAAGACTTTAGTTGCAATGTTATAAATAGATTTGCAAGGGATAATAGGTCAGTATCCCGCAGGAGAAACTGGGTCTTTAACCTTAGGAACCAAAGCAACCAATGTCTATTTCCATTCATTACAAAGAAAACCCAAAGAGAGAAACTATTGATAGCTTTACATACATCTTCACCAATGTATTCAAATAAGTTTTGAAGAAGGAACAAGTTATTCCATCACAACCTGGAGCTTTATTCTCTCCCAAGTTCCTGATAACATCCAAAATTTCTGAAGTGTTGAATTTGGCATTCAACTTATTTCTATCATCATCATCCAATACTCTCCAAGGAGAAGGGCGGTTAATCAAAGAACAATTCTTTTCCCTCCATTTCTTATTGAAATAGTTTAAAAAAACCTCTTCTATTTCTTTCAGTTTCTCAACTATTATTCCATCCATCCCTTTAACATGGTTAATCTAGTTACCATTCCTTCTAGCATTTGTAAAAGACTAAAAATATTTGGAGTTAGAATCCCCTTCCTCAATACACCTTACCTTAGCCCTTTGTTTCCACCAAGTATTCAATCTAGCAAGGAAGACATTAATTTTACGCACCTTAGCCCTTAAGTGCCTTAATGTTTCAACAGACAACCCTCCTTCCTTGGCCTCCTTCTTGTAATTACAATACCTCCTTTTTCAGACCATCTTTGAGAGTTAAAAAGTTCTTTAATTTTGCTTTACTCAAAAAGAACAATTCTTTCAATGCTCTTTTGCATTTTTTATTTAAAATCTGCATATCATCTCCCTCATTGGACTTTTTCCATATTTTTGAAATAATACACGAAGAGGCATAAAAAGAAACCCAAACATCTTCAAACTTCACAAAACTATTCTTCTTAAAAGCTGAATAAAAATCTTTAAAATAACTGGGTAATGATCTAAATCCACCCTAGTAATGTGCATGTAAACTGTCACTTGAATCTCCTCCAAAGAAAAGGAATTAAGCAAGCATCTATCCAACCTTTCCAAGATCCTTCCTCCACCACTTTAATTATTCCACCAAGTAAACCTTGCTCCAACCACTCCAATTTCATGAAAATCATTATGATTCATAAATTTTATCATATATTTAGAACCATGAGAAAAACAAACTTCCTACCTCCTCTTTTATCCTCTTGAGCCAAAATATAATTAAAGTCACCCCCAATCACAAAAAGAACCTTTCTATGAGAAACCTAAGGAAGACATCCCCATAAGTCCCTTCTTTTAAAAACCTCCTTAGTACCATAAATATTAGAAATCATCCAACTCACTTTATAAAACACTTCCAAGTCTCTAATTATAGATTGATCACAAGACTTCACAATAGAGAAAGAAGCAAGATTAGATCTCCACATCACCCACTACAGGAAAAACGCTGAAAACCGGCGGCTTTTTCCGGCGGTTAGTCTGATTTACCGTCGGTTTTTAATGGTACCGGCGGTCTAACGGCGGTTTGTAAACCGTCGGAAAAAATGGCGTAGGAAACCATTTCCGACGGCTTGTTACCAGCGGTTTATTTTTGCGGCGGTTTTCCGGCGGCCAATACCACCGGTGACCACCGGAATTTTAACCGTCGGTTTGCCGGCGGTTAGGCCGCCGGTATTTAAACCGCCGGTAAGCCGCCGGTCACGTTACCGTTTGAGTCTTGTGATCAATCCACCCTAGCTAAGCCGCCGATTTGGCCGTCGTTAGAGTCCGACGGCTAGACCGCCGGTGACGCCGCCGGTAATACCGACGGTCTATAAACCGCCGGTTCAAACCGCCGGTATTTGACATTTTTCATTTAGTGACCATAATACCCCATGAAAAACCTTTAAATGAAAGTATAAAATAATCCCAAACCACTCCCATCATTTTTTAAAATGCCATTCTATTCCAAGAAGAGATTTTAGTCTCCACCAAGCCCACAAAAAAACATTATACTCATTTACAAACTCTTTTAAGTAAAGAGAGACCTCTCTATTTATAGCCCCTTTATAATTCCTCAGTGCAGTTGGACAAGGACTCTAAAAGAAAATTTCTTATTCAAAAAAAATTTAGAGGAATAATTGGATCATTACTTTGCTTAACAAATATCAGACATGATATCATATTTAGTGTTTATCTTTGTGCTAGATTTAAGGATTCAAAGTGCTCAGATGACACTAGAAAGTGCTCTGATACCACTTGAAAGTTCTTTAGGGATGTTAGACCCTATAAAACTGGCCCAAGCTAACAGAGTGGGGGGAGGGGGGGGGGTGAATTGGTATTTTAAAATTAATAATATGTTAAGTAAAAGTTATTCATTAATTATAATTTACACTATTAATTATATATTTAATAATATATATTTTAAGTTATATTAATCAAGCGAATAATATTAATATTTAAATATTAATTATATTACTAATTATTCAATTAAGTTAATTTAGATAATTAATTTATGCACTAATTATACTATTAATTATTTAATTAATTTACTTAATTTTCAATACTTTAAATTATATTAATTAAGTTAATCAATAATAATAGGTTTGAGACTTTGAGCTATAGAGATTGCACGCGTCGCTTCTTCGGCTCCTTCGTGGCTGTTCGACACTTCGACTTCGCTCCTCCGACGACTTTACCTTCCTGTCGGATCGGAAGTTACGACATTGTTCGGAATCAACAACGGGAGCTCGCTGGTTGTGAAGGTAACTTTCTACCTTTCGCTCGCTTCTGCGGCCAAATCCCATAAATCCGCCGAACCGAGGGATTTAGTAAATCCGGGATTTAAGCCTTAAATCCTTAAATCCATCCATCGCCGGGATTTAACGCTTGCACACACTGTTTGGCTGAATTTAGCGTAAATCCGACTTAAATCCCGCTGTTAATCCGATAACAAACAGTCCCTTCGTCGTCCTCTGCGATTTCGTCGTCGTCTTCGCCTGCGATTTCGTCTTACGAGCGACGACTGCGACTTCGGCTCTTTGATTGTCTCTTTCGTGCGTTAGGTTTCCTTCTGTTGCCGGTGTTTCAGACGACTGCGATTTGGGGCTCTTCTTATTCTTCGCCAGCTTTCACCCGTGAGTAACAGAAAATCAGTTCTTTGATGCCATTTATATGCTTGATTTCTTTGATGTCATTTTGGTTGTCATCTTCTATCATGTTTGAAACGCTTATATTTATGAATATTACCAAAAAATAATTATTATCAGGTCTGGATTTAAAACGCTAGATGGAATATTATGTGATATTGTATATTTTAAACATGAGGATATAGCCTACTATGATCAGGGAGGCTTAGATGTTCACTTATAAATATGTATGTAAAAAAGTAGTTCTACTCCTTTCTCTCACGTTTTGGTATGGCTGCAAGCCTACAACATAGTGCATAACATCAAACAAAGTCTTGTTTGTTTGTGTGTCTTTCTGCCTATCAGTCTATTCATTCTCTTGTGCGCCCCTTCGTTTTGGTATATGGCTAAAAAAGCACATAACCTGTAAATATATGCAAAGTTTCTTGGCATCTCAATCATCTTGACATGGTTCGTGGATAGCCCTGCGTATCTTCCTGTTCGAGCAACGAAGTCAATTAAGAAGAGGCAACAAAGTCGCGTGAAGAGGTGCAAGTGATGTAACTGCCAAAAGAGCCTGAGGAATTCATATGAACTAGTATGCATGTTGTGGTCAGCTGAGGAAACTGCAACAAAGCCATATGAATAGGTACAAGCAATGTGTTTGGCCGATGAGCCAGTAATGAAGTCTCGTAAAAAGGAACAAGCAATATGGGTGGCTACAAAGCAGATGATGAAGCTATATAAAGAGGTGCAGACGATGTATGTGGCTGACGAGCAGACAATGAAGTTGCATGATAAACATGTCGGCAATGTGGTTGGCTGAGAGCATGAAACAAAGTAGTTTAATTGAGGAGCAGATGATGAATATGTGAAAGGAGGTCTGGGCGGTTATGTATGCCAAGAAACAAGCGGCACAAGTACATTAAGTGGTGCAAGCAATGAAGTCAATGAATAACTAGGCAATAATGCCCCGTGAAAAAGTTGTTGGGATGTGGCCTACTAAGGAGCATGCAATAAATATGTATGAAGTATTCCAAGAAATATGGCTAATTGAGGAGTAAACAACAGTTACATGAAGAGTTGTAGATGGCAAAGTCATAACTTCGATGTCATTTTGAGGTCATTGATGGAGGATGCATGACATCACTATTACCTTAGAAGAATGGGATGGAGAGGGCCGAAGCTATGAAATCATTTTTCACTTGCAATAATAGATAGTGTATGTAAATGTCATGCCATTATCACTGTCTTCAAACGAATTTGTTTTTAATCTTCTTGTAAGATGCTTTAGTTGGTGGTGGAATCCTAATGTGCAAGAAAAAATTAAAAATAAGAAGCTTTGTTATAAAAATTGGTTTGATTTTAAAAATTCTGATAATTGGGAAATATATAAAGTGGCTCGTAAGGTAAAGGCTTGATGTTGTTGTTGTAAGATGCGAGGGTCATTTGTTTACCCTCAATATTTGGTGGAGGGTTCAATAGTTCATTAGTTCTAATGTTTGGCAATTGCCATGATGGAGGAGAGTTAACCCCTACTAAAGTGGAGAGGGTTGACAATTGTAGATCTCAACAAGGATTGGTAAATCAATACGCAAAGCACATCGATTGGTATGACTTATGTCAATCAATGATAAAGGGATGGCTTTTTACGTACGATATCAAATTATTGAGTGTTGAAAATAGTCTTCATTGCTAGAAAATTTTGAGTAGGCGGATTGTCTTAAGCCCAATATCATATCCTGGAAAAAGAGAATAAAACAAAAGGTCAATAGACCATCTCAAGGATTTTCCCTCGGAAGATTCTTTGAAACTTAAGTCAATGACCTAAACAAAACATACAATTGAAAAATATACTATGTCACCTTTACCATCCATGTCAAACCTAAAAGCCCCACAATTGAGTGCACTTTAACTCTTTGACCATTCAAAAAGTGAAGAGCCAAGTAGCGCAGCCATTAAAATCCAATTGAACCATCATGCCCCAATGATTATGGATTTATTGATGGAGGCCCGAGGCTTTGAGATTAATCCTAATGGAGATCTAAATAAAGCATCTGCATTTATATCAATAACTATGAGGTTGATCTCAAAGATCTAAATTGGATCATCATTTCATGCTAGAACCTAAAAGATAGTGTCGATGGAATGCACTTCATCAAGTTTGATAAATGGATCTACACAAATCTTGACATGATTGAGGAGGGTTCTGTGGGAGCATCATCCTTTTATCCAAATCTCATTGCACACAAATCATAATGTCCATCATCAAATGATTGAAATTAATTAGGAGTTGTTTTTAGGGCCACATCAATCTAAAAACCATTGAAACAATCAACACCTTTGATTAATTTCACAACAAGATGTTAGCAAGCCAAACAAAACTTCGCCCCCGAAACAAAACAGTTTCAAGTCAGTTATGCTCTGGCATTCCGCATTCTCATGCAACTTTACACTAGGAGTAAGCAATTAAGTGAAAAATCATGTGGAAGGAAAAATCCCTAAATGTTACAGGGAGATGCATCGAAGCAACCTTTTTTCCTTCAAAATCATTTTAAAAAAGTAAACAAAAAACACTGGAAGCATTTTGCATTAAGCTCTTCTTATACATAACGTGAAACAAATTTACCGAGTCAATACAGAATAAGAGTACCTTCGGCACCGGATGCTAGATGCCTGTCACTAGTGATGCCGCACCACCGTGTGCAAGGAAGGAGATTGCTTGAGTGTAATAAGAAATTTCTCGTAAGAGCACACTAGCAGCAGCAAGGGAGATAAGAATCAGAAAGTGTGGTCTTAGAGTTGGTCTGAAGGGCCGACGAGTCGACCTTGCGTGAGCAGTTCTGCTAGTTCTTTTATTCTATTCTTCTCCTCTAGTTGACTTGTATTTTATCATTTTATATTTTCAGTCCATTTAGGCTTTTAGCTCTTGTTTAGCTTGAATGATGCCAAATTTTAATAATAAAATTTTAAAAATGAGCAAAAAGTGTAAATTAAATGATTAATCATATCATATGTGTGTATATAAGATATTAATTAATTATATATATACAATATTTTATCTTTATCGAGTTGTTAAAGAGCCGAATATGTTCTATAGACTTATTTGTGTTTACTTCATTATGAATATGAACTTAAAATATTTGCTCAAATTCCACTCACTCAAAAAATTATAAAATAAGTTCTTTAACAAGCAAAATGTGATTTGTTCTCAGAGGAGTTTTTTTGACACTTTGCTAGCACGATGGCACTAAACTCAAGGCATAATTTAGTTGGTTCATTCAATCAGGTTAATTGCGTGATTATCTAAGGATTTAAGTAATGAATGTTGTGTCATTCTAGCTAAGCATGCAAGTCATGGCTTAACAGTTTATTTAAGAAAAACTCATATTCTGTTCTTTCTATGAAAAAGAATAATTCGTTTTAATTTGATTTATAAGTCCATTTTTTCTAATAAAAACAAAGTGTAATGCACTAAGACTGGATGTAATTGGTAAAGTGCTCATTATATATTTGTACATTTCAGTTTTAAAGGTTGTAAAAACATTCAAAGATGTTTGCTTACATAAATAAATGGGGCTCCAAAAGATAATATCTTAAACTTTGAGGGCGTTCTCTTTTGGAACCCTATAAAAGACTTAGAGCTAGAAGAAAGTAAGCAAATGTATTTAAACATAAATTTGTAGGAGTAGAAATCCAAGCATATAGTGGTGGACCTTGGCCATCTTACTTTTCAGCAAACACTGAGTTGTATTTATATTTCAAATAAGTGAATAAAAGATTTTATTTATGCATTTGTTTCATGTATCATACATGACGTTAGTTAGATACATCTGCATATTTTGGAGTCTCAATTAAACTATCTAACTTAAAAAAATTCTTGATTCTTTAGAACAAAGCCATCCTTTCTTGCATTCATAAGGCGATTGATTATGTTTAGGATGTTAGCTGACAGCTCACTCTAGGCAAGCATAAGCCCATATCGTGCACCCCTTAGTTTGTATTTTCTAACTCCTAATAAATTTTGAATCTATAATCTCTCATGGTATAGTAAATCAATATTTGATCTTCTAAATTCAAAATTTTAATCAAATCTTCATACATTTAAAAAAAATCTAATCTTTACTAAAGATGAACAGAAGAATTTAACCCCTTTAGATTAGAAGAATTTAGGAACTTCACTATGTATCAAACAAAGAAGAGAATAAAATAATATTCGTAGTCGAGAGTATTCTTAGACCAAGACCTAAGATATAATTAATCACAGATCAAATAAATCTCATTTGAACAAATGTATTGAATGGGAGAAATCTCATGACCATCGAGCTATACATATTATTATCCATCAAGTTATGTAGGCAAAAACCGCTATTCTCTATGGATAATCATATGTATAATTTCATATGCTCTTCCATTGGTCTTCTTGTGTAGAATGTAAAGGCTTACGACTATTTTTTCTTATAGGATAGTGGGATCTTACCCTTTACATTCTAATCCCCGCGAGCAGTATCTTTTCAGTTTCTTTAGTTCTTACCAATGTAAACCTCTTAAAAATTCACTTTTGTTTCAGCAGAAGTGCAATTCACCTCATTTTGATAGAATTTGCTTTAAAATGACAGTACTATTTATTCCTAAAAATTTAGTTCTATATCCAAGATTTCTATCAATTTTTTTAGCTTTTGGAATAATTAAATTGCTAATTATGGAAGTTCATGGCCAGCTTTTCTGAATTCGTCTTCAAATATGTCAGGTTCCTTGTAATTATTTTGCAAAATGAGCTTCTCATCAGTTTGCAGACGGGTGGGCCTTAAAGATCTAGTTTCAAACGTTAATGTGTACCCTAGTGCTAGTGGTAAATAACTCCAACAGAAACAAGCTGTTATACTGTTCTTAAGGGTGAAATAGATCACAATAAATGGCTATGTGCTTGCTTTTCAGAAGCAACTGGGGGATTGAACTTGCTTTTCAGGCGCTGGGCCACCAAAAAAACCGCAGGATCCACGAAAAATGGCCGTGATTCCAATCCCAAATATCTTGGTGTGAAGAAATTTGGTGGTGAGGTCAGTTACCTCAATCACAAGCGAGTACCATTTTGATGGGAGTTGCAGATATTTTTGCTCTTTCTTGTTTTTTATGACTAAAATTATTATCTTTGTTGCGCAGAAAGTCATTCCTGGTAATATCATTGTTCGTCAAAGAGGTACGAGGTTTCATCCTGGTGATTATGTTGGGATGGGAAAAGATCACACTCTCTATGCTCTGAAAGAAGGCCACGTCCGGTTTGAACGTCACAAGCTCAGCGGTCGCAAGTGGGTGCATGTTGATCCCAAGGAAGGTCATATTCTTCATCCTGTCTATCAAAATACTGCTGCTTCAGATGCTGCAAGCCATGCTTATGCCAGTTAGAAACTATCAAGGTTATGAACTAAGGCTTCGTTTGGGACGGCTTTCTTGATGCTTCTTAAAACAGCAGTTTTTTAGTACAAAAATTAAATTTTTAGTGCTAGAAAGCTGCTTCAAAAAGCAGTGAGAAAGTCATCCCAAACGAAGCCTAAAGCTTTCATTTTGTTTCTACGTGGAGAACAGTCCACTATAATACGGTGTCAATGCTGACTGTTATCTTTATTTTATTTGTGGGCAATATTAGTTAACAGTTTTGCTATGATAAATATTCTTGGCTTTCCAGAAATGGGGAACTTCTGTTCTGTTTTACATCATGGTTCATGGAAAATGATGAAGAGTAGACCTGCAAGACTTCTATCGGTAGAGATTTACTTTCATTTTCATATTTCATTTCATTTTCTGCACTTTCCTTCAATTCAAACAAAGCCTTGTGTCTGGTTTGGCAATATATTTAATTTTGTAGGTGGGTTGCAATATTAGATAAATATCGTTACGTTCTTCCAGAAACTTGGAACAACAATATAAACCATACTCCATCGGGTTTAGCTGGGTCGGTGGGCGAGTATGATTGGGAACCTCCCAACCCATGTTCGATTCCCCTCTCACGAGTCGTGCACCTAGAGTCTGGTTGCTAATAGGCTCGCCGAGGGATTAGTTACGCCATCAAGCATCTCTTATGAGGTGGCAGTGGGTAGATACCCGTTCAAAAAAAAAAAAAAAAAAAAAAAAAAAAAAAAAAAACAAACAATAGAAACCATTTTGCTGTGGTAAACAATGACATCCAATTCCATCAACTGGTAGCTTTTGTTCACTCATTTATGATCATGAAACAGAATGATGGCTAGGCCTGGAAAATTGCAATGTTCTGTGCTTGGTTTTCCTTTTGCCTAAAGCCAATTTCAATTTCAGTCGCTTTCTATTTGGTAATGTTACATGTCTTAGTTCATGCTGTCATATTATGACTATTATTTTGCTCATAGTAAAGTTGAAAAGGCAAAATTGCATTGCTCTATTTACCGAGGCAGTTATTGAAATTTATTAGTGATTCCTGTTGTATCTAAATTTGTTTTACTAACAATAATGGATCAAATTAGAGAGAAAAATGTTTGAGAGAAGAAAAACGTAGAGTGGGAAACTTTGGGATGTCACTGTTACCCTGTATTGCTAGAAAATACAAAGATTGATAAAAATAAGTTTATGTTCTAAGCTCATTCATTGATTGCAGAAATTATTCTGTGCAGATATTGGACTGTCTGGAGGTAAATCAGAACGTGTCACGTCACCCGGTATAAAACAAAAAAAAGTGACGTGGTGCATTCTGATTCGCCTCGGGTCGGCGTCTGTATCCTCATAGAATAATTTTACCATTGACTGACCCTTATTTATAGATTTGGGTCAGAATAATGCTACAGAAAAAGTTACATTTGACTATTTGAGCATTACAAGTAAAATTGTATGGCAGTGGTTAAGAAGTGCTTATTTTAAAATGAAAAAGTTCAAGTCAAGTTGACCCTGAGTTTGATAAAGCAAGGACTGCCAAGAGAATCACTATGCTTTTTAAATATTTAGAGAAGCTGAGAAGATATATTTGAGTGACTTGACAAAGAGTGTTGCTTTGTTTAGTCGCCTTGATAATGCCTCAAGTGAAGCTGTCAATCAGGTCGAGTGAGAAGTGAGTGAATTGAGGGAAGAACTCATTCTTTTGAGGAAGCTTTTTGGGCAGCTCATCTTAATTTCTTGGAATTCGAGTTTTATTTATGTCATGTGTATGCCATAAAAAAGAAGCTCCCTGCATCTCCTTAAATGGAGAAATTATTCTGTACGGACACCGGACGGTCCGAAGACAAATCAGAATGCGTCACGTCACCATGCATATAGCAGTATCGAGCAAAAAAGTGGCGGGACGCATTCTGATTGGTCTCCGGACGCCATTCATAATCCACACAGAATAATTTTTTTCCCTTAAACAAGTTGATACGGTATTGATGTCGAGTTCTTCACCACTTGATTTGTCAGTGGCATATCACATTTTGGCAAATGAATATTCCATCTTCCCAACAACTTATATTATACCTATAAGTTATGTCATTAAGCTAATTTTGTCATTTCAAATTTATTTATCATAAACCATTTGAATCCTTCTATCATTTTAGGGTTATTGTTAGTGCCAATTAAATCATCATTATATAAAGACATAGTAGTAAAATATCATCTCTTTCACATATAAAGCATATAAAAGAATTTTTTTTAAATCCAATTTCATGTATATAAATTAAAGAAAGAGTTAATAGATTTATTTCAAAACCTTGAATCTATTATGTAGAATTTGGCCTCTATTTTAAGATCTATATCTAAGAGCTGAGTAGCTAAATTCTCGCAACATCATCTTATTGAAGTTTTGTTTGCGTGTACTTATCTTTAAATAGGCGAGGGTTCTAGTAGTCATTATGTGAATTGATGCACCAGAGATCAACAAAGATGCGAGATAGTTTGAAGTTGCCCACATTTACAAAAATGTATTTGCAAGTATCCAACTTTAAATAGGCAAGAGTTCTAAGAGTTATTATAATGAGTAGCTAAATTCTCGTAACATCATCTTACTAAAGTTGTGTTTGCGTATGTTTACCTTTAAATAGGCAAGGGTTATTGTAGTTAATGTTGATTAATGCACTAAGATCAACAAAGATGCGAGATAGTTTGAAGTTGCCCATATTTATAGAAATGTATTTGCAAGTATCCAATTTTAAATAGACAAGAGTTCTACGAGTCATTATGTTGATCGATGCATCGAGATCAACAAAGATCTAAAATAGTTTGAAGTTGTTCACATTTATATAAATGTATAATGGTTGATTATGATCAGGAGTTTCTAAGAAAAATTTTGTAGTTCTTTTGGATTATATAATATATATTTTTTAATTTATATGCTTAACTACTTAAGAAGAAAAAGGATAAGAATTAGTATAAAATAAAAAAGAAAAGACTAACAATTAATTACAACATCATTATCTTTTTAATCATTTGTTTAACTTTATGTTATGTATAGCTAATTAATTAATTAATTTTTACCATGATGATCCATGATAAGGTATAGTCCATTGGATTAAAACTGATAAGTAAATAAGTTTAAACGTGACTAAGTTCAATAAGTTATAGCTTGATATAGGGTCTTTATCTTTTCAATCCTACATGACACAAATATCAATCAGAATGAGCCACGTCAATGATGTCGAGCCGCGGTCCTGACCAAGCGGTACCTAGCCGCGGACTTGGATATCCGAAACTTGGATATCCGAAACGGGATTCGGCTTCGTTACAGAACAATTTTTCACAGAAAACAGAAACAAACCTCATTCAATTAAAAGGCAATAATTCCTTATTCAAATAAAAGGCGATGGTTCATTATCAATTGTTTAATATTTTATTATGCTGTCATGACTTTTTGGTGTAATGATTGGATTTCCTATAATAATTTCATTTTTGAACATTTTTTTATAACAGATCACTCCTAATATAATCAATCTCATATAAAGTTACTAGGTATGTCAATTTTTGACACGACCCGAAACACGACTCGAACCCGACTCGGAAAAATCCGGGTTCGGGTTGAACAAATCAACCCGTTTTAAAAATCGGGTCGGGTTGACCCAGCAACCCGAAATTGACCCGAAAGTGACACGAAAACTCATATATGACCTGAAAACCCAAGATTGACCCGTTTTTTATCCAATTTTGACCCGAAAATCGAATATTGACCCGATTTTGACCCGAAAATTAGCAATTTTAGGTCAACTTTGGGTCATTCGTGTCGGGTCGGGTTGACCCGGACCCAAATCGGGTCGGGTTCGGATCCATAAACCTGACCCGTTTTTAAAAACGGGTCGGGTTCGGGTTGACCCGAATAGTGCCGGATCAGTTTCGAATTCGACCCGAACCTGACCCGCTAACCCGAATTGACACCCCTAAAAGTTACATAGAAATAGACTAGTCATGAGGTTCAACTCATAATAAAAAAGATCGAGTCAAAGCAAAAAAAATACTTTGCATAATATGATCAAAAAATTTAAGATATCTTGAGATTAAATTCGAATCCCCTCATCTCTCTCAAAAGAGAAAAATATTTATTTGAAAAATTTTTTAAAAGGAGCATGTTGGTAGGGAAATTTAGCTAGAGGAGCATTATTGGAGCGAAATTTAAGACGGAGCAGATATGCCAAAGCCATTGGCGCATTCAGAAAACGTCATTTTGTTTGGTGCTTTCAACCAATGCGGCATACCTTATTTGAGGTGATCGGACTCGCTACACCATTTAGCGAATTGGCTCCTATCTAAATTTCTGTACGATCTTACGTTTGGACCCAAAAAAGGAGAGATTATTAGGTGCAGAGTGCAGACGGGGAGAACCGTTTGCACACTAGTATAAAATCCAGCTAGGTATCGTTCGGTACCGCTAGGTACCACTAGGTATCGCTTGGTACCCTGTGTCTGTGCAGACGGTGCTCTCCCCATTGAATTTTTATTACGTCCTCCCACCTGATGTAGAAATACGTCCTCCCACCGCCAAAAAACTCAATTTTTGCTCGGTATTGCTACGTATTATTTGATAATAACGAGGAATATCATCATGTGAAGACCAATACCGAGTTATACCGAGCAATACGAAAAAATACCTAGTTTTTTCTAGGAAAAACTAGATATTTTTTTGTTTTGCTCGGTATTGGTCTTCATATGATGATATTCCTCGTTATTGTTTGGTATTGCTCGGTATTTCTCATTTTTTAGCGCGATTTTAGCTCCGGGAACACGTATCTCTACGTCAAGTGGGAGGTTGCAATAAAAATTCCTCCCCATCTGCACTCCGCACCTAATAATTATTCCCAAAAAATAGACCTTTTTTATAAAAAGCTAGCCGCGCCAGGTAGGGGTCGAACCTACGACTTTCTGCTTAGGAAACAGACGCTCTATCCACTGAGCTACAGGCGCTTTTTCTTTCAATTTCTATGTATTATGCATATATATCATATTATTTTTAACTTGTTCTCCTCTCTACCTAAATATCTTATTTGCGCAGTGTTATGAAAAAGTTAATTAACTAATATAATTTGATTTTGAATTATTGTTAATCATAGCTTAACAATTTCAACGGACACAATTCGATTGCAATTTGAATTTTTAATCTATATGCCACGTGCCAACATCATTTACTAAATTGTAATATACATAATTTTTTTTCATATTATCCTTTTTAAAAATTTATAGTGCCTAAAATAAAAATATACATGAATTACGGTCAGCAATATTATCCTTCAAATTATATAATTTTTTTTATTTCATCAACAATTGTTAACTATACTTTAAAACAA